ACCTTCGATTTGCTGTTGCTTGATTTTTTTGCCATTTTTTGCGACTAAATTTTGCTTTCTAAGAGAGCTGTTTGCAGAGCGTTTTGTAATGGTTCCGGATGCGGACAAGAAAGGTTTGCCGCGAGTCGTCGAATCCGTCTATGTGTCTTCGAAAACAAAACAGAATATTCGGGCGCTCTGTAATTTACTCTATCGAACCGCTTACGATATTCGTTCAGTGGGCAGCAAAGAACGACTTCTTGATCAGAAAATCCCGGCGTCCTATTTGGCACTGGAGAAAGTACGCCTGTTGCTTTGTAACTGATAGCACTTAGTTAATTTTTGCAGTCGCTCGAATAACCGACCTGGAACCTGCACTATCAGTGAAGCCCGACTGCACGGACTAGGCGTAGGAGTACTCGCTGTTACTAAGGCACGGTTGACTTTTGCTGAGTTTAGTACTGTTGAAATTCGACTATTGCGTGGCGGATACATCTGCGTCAGATTTTGGCCGGGATTGGTAACTTTCATCTTTTTTTGCTAGATTATTCAAAACTGCACGATTTTTGATAAAAAAAGGAACACATTAATTCGGTCCGTTCTTTATTCCGCTCGTTTGATTGAGCGTTTTATCTACAGTTTAATATCGAAAGGCGATTCAGACTTATGGGTTTTTCGTCAGTTGCAGTGAACATTTGCTTCGTTAATGACCAGATCTTCTACATTATTATGAATGGTGGTAATTGAAGAAATAATCCCATTTATACACTTTTTTGCATAAAAGCGAGTAAGAAATGGCCTTTGGATTATCCCGCCACATTCCATGCAAATCATTGGACCACTTTATATCAGAGTTTTTCCCGCATCCTTGCTGTAAAGTGCTTCCTCGATTAAATTTTCATGATTTTCGGCTTTCGGAAATGTTGCATGTGAACAAGCGCAAATTTCGAAATATTTTTTGAAAAAAAAATTATTTTTCGAGGTAAGGGGCGTGGAGGAGGCAAGGGTGTTTTTCAGGAGAACGTAAAATATTCTGTTAGAGCACATTAGTGAGTCTGTGGGACAAGGATGACAGGTAACAGATAGGCGGAACGAAGCGATATATTAAAAGCACAGTGTGAATGTCACTCATACACTCGTCGATTCACGTTCTTTGAAATATCTGGAATGGCGTGAATGTTAAATATACAATACCAAAGTCAGCGGAAGAGTTGCTTTCTGCATAAATTGGGGTACAGTCTATGAATTAACAACTATATCCCATCAAGCACCACATACTTCAACAACTTACAAGGGGCGACCAACTGGTGGATCCAGTGGAGTTTGAATTATGTCAAAAAAGCATCGAAAATTTCACTCTTAGCTATCAGTTACACTTTTTAGCTATGTAGCTTCAGAGAAGCGGTGATTTAATCATTTTCTTCAAGATAGTTGTGGAATTGGGCGATGAACGGCGATCAGCGGGAATAGAGCCAGTGATGACAAATCTCGCATTCCGAAGTGCCGTTCAGGAAAGAATGCTAAAGAATTATGGCCGAGCGTTTCGCGATGACATCGAATTTAATCACGCGTGCTCATTTTTGCATGAAAATGGTTGGCTTCCAGATTCATCCATCTTCATTTGATTGTTTTTATTCTGCTGTCGATTTGGGAGAGTTATAGTCATTTAGGTCTCTTCTGTAATTTCTTTAGTGTTTATATATACATATATATATATGTACATATATATATATATATATATATATATATATATAGATTTGTGTGCTCTCAGGAAAAGACTGTTGGCTTGCCTAAAAACAACTTTTGGATGAGGGTACCATTAATAGCCTTTTCAGCGGTTATTGTTCTTGGCGCTTGTTAATAGTCAGGCTTCTTCCAAGTGCCTTCTCCTCTGAAACGGAGCAAATTACGGAGTTCTATTTTTTTAAGGACTACTGCAGTGCAACTTCTGTTTTTTTTCCTTTGCGTTTTTATTCTCTCTATCATATTTTCTTTTTTTAAGCAGTAAGGATAAAAGGACAGCCCTGTGCAATTTATCGTTGGTTGCTAGGTATAAGCCTATCATGAACAGAGCTCTTTCTTGAGTATTGTTCTGGACCTGGAGGAAATCAAACCACTCCTATTCGCGTGCGGACACAACTTGTTACCACTTCATCGCCTTTAAAGGCAGATGTGTAGTCAGGTTCAGTCAGACAGTGCGTCCACTGTGTATCTATCTTTCAAGGCAAGATACATCTTTCTTTTTCTCTCATTTTCTTTAAATGGCTTCTTGGCTGGCTTTTCACGGTTCTTCCCCGAAACTCCACCACAGAGATGCCGCGGCCCATCAGTCCGTGCAGAACTCCGCCCCGAATATCGTTTGCCGCTTCTTTAGCCACTTTCCCGATTCGTGACACCATGTCGTGAATGGGGCCTTTTCTCGAAAATTGTTTTGGGCCGGAGGGAAACGAATCACTTTTTTCACATCCCGACACAACGTGTTACCACTGAACCGTCGGTTCTTGTGCTTGATATCCAGCTTGTCAACACATCTGCTGTATATCTGCCTTTCAAGACAAGATAGACCTTTCTTCTCTTTTCCTTTGTGGCAACTTCTTGGCGGGCTTTTGCGGGTTTTCCGCGACAGTGCCCGCCGTTTTCCTCTTTTCTTTAGTAACGAATGGTTGGTATTTTTAGGTGTTATATTGCATTACGAAGATGTAACATTGCGGGAGTTGTATTTTCTCGATCCACAATGGCTGTGCGATATCCTGGCACATGTTATAACAATTCGCGAAATAAATCCCTTCGCGCGAAATGGTCTTATGAAAATTGACGATCTTCAAATGCTGTTCAAATCGTTAAAATTGGGCAGCTCGGCTATTAATTTGAGGTATTCCCTAGCTAGTTGCACTAGTTTAACGCACGTCAGCGATTCATTTGTATCGTAAGTGGCTTTAAGTAATCCCTGTTTTTCATGTAGATCTCTTCTCGACCACTTATATACTGCTATGCTGTATTTGCGATTACGTTGTAGTGTCACTGATTATGATTACCACTGACAATGGTTACTCCCTTCAAGCGCCTGCTTTCCTTTGTTCGTTTGAGGAAGTCTGCCTACATTTTTGCAGATCACACATAATATCGCTGTTACAAAAATTCGAAGTGGCGCTCACTTGGCAGTCACGTTCACTGCTTATCCCTTCGTTGTTGCCCGATGAATATCAGTTAAGGGGTGGATATCCAGGCTCGCGCGTAATGGTTCGTTTGTACTGTTTTATTTGTGAATTTCAGGAAATACCCTTGGGTTTAAACTGCCGTAAAAGTATTTTATTCAAATAAATACGAGAAATTCAGCGGAGTTTCTTATTTACTGTTTGACTGTTTTTCATCAGTTCATGAGTTTTGATTCCACCATTGCACCGTTATTTATCGTATTTACTTTACTGGAATACACAAGAGTTATGTAGAAGAAAATCCTTGAAATTG